GCAATGCTGCAGTGCAGTGCCCTGCCAGTGCAGTGCCGCCATCGCCATGGACGCCATGGGCCCACCATGGGCCATTCATACTGTCACAGCCATTGTTGCTTTTGCCGTTTGTTGTTAGCCCACTTGCGAACCGGTGCGGCCGCGCCAGGATTGAGGTGCGCACGCACACTCACGCACACTCACGCGCACACACAGGGCTGACCGCACCGGGCGTGGCGTGGCGAGGGCGTTGCTCGCCGTTTTCATTCCGATAGTAAAAACGCGCCGTGATTTACGGCGGGCCCGCACGAGGGCGTGGTTCGCGGTTCGAATACCGTCACTGTTTAATTTTTTTTTTTACGCCCCGCAAATCTGGGTGTTTATTTGCATGGGCGCCTCCGTCGCGAGTATAGTACAGTGCCCGCGGGCTTGTTTTGGTTTCGTACGGTCCAAGTCGGCCTTTCCTCTGTTTTTGTTTTTTTGCCGTCAGCAGTGTAGTGTCGTGTGTGCGCGTTATTCGCTGTGCCGGGCTGTACGAGGCTATTGGCGCAGCCTGGCGCAGCTGTGGGGCTCCTTAGCTAGTCAAAGAGTCAAACCACGCCGCCATCGGCAAATAATGGCAAGTGCACCCCCGCGCGCCTTCAGAGAGAGAGAGAGAGAGAGAGATGAATGGCGTCGCGTCGTGACATTTCCAAAGCGCACGCGTGTTGTCCGCACGCGGCGCTGCTGGCGCTGCTGCACCTGCGGAGGGGCGCCTGCCCCGCTTGCCTGCCCGCCTCGTTGAGTGCACACAGGCACGACTTGTGTCGTCTGCTTGCGGTGTTTGCAGTGCTGCAGTCACGCAGTCCTCGCCATTTTCCTCCGCTTTTGCCTCTTTCCTTTCGACGCCTGCACTGGGCGAGTGCAAAAACACACACGCCCCGCGTCGCGCGCGCAAGCGCCACGATTTCAGAAAAAATATCCGCTTAAAATCCTTTGCGTACAAAATGAAATCTTTCTTTGCTTTCTTTTCTTTCGTTTGGTGTTTTTCTTGCCGCCGCCTCGCCGCGCGGCACCCAGCGTTGCGACCTTGACTGTCCAGTTGGCGGAGCGAGGGGAAGGGGGGGCTCCAGGAGCCAGGACCGGTGGGGGTGGGAGGGTTGTTGCGACACGTCGCAATGCTTTGAGGCCCGCGGCCTCCACTGCTAAGCGTTGCATCCCACCGGCGAACACGAACACACACACGCGCGCACACACACAGACGCGCGCGCGCGAGCAAACCTGCATACATTACTCACACATGCCCAGTGGCGGATCCAGACCCGGTCCGAATAAGCGAGAGGAGAAAGGGGGCAAAGTGGCACTTTCTGCCTACAGTGTGCGGCTTTTTGCCTACCTTGTCCCCTTCCCCCCCCCCCCCCCCACCGCGCTGTGCCGAAGCTAGATGGAAACGCGCTGAATGGCGAGGCGATTGGGCGGCGATTGCGGTTCGTTAAATCGCCGTAGTGTAAATAACGCCATGAGTGCGGGGCGGCTGGGGCCTCGGCTGGGGCGCATTGCCCAACCAGAGAGAAACAGCGCGCCCCGTGTTTCCGTCTCTCTCGCACTCGCGGCCCAGACGGCCTGGGTCCGGACGGCCTAGGTCCGGACCGCGGGGGTCAAGGATTCGTCTCCGCGGCCGCCTAATTGGCGCCAGCGAGCGCCGTCTCTCTCGCACTCGTGGCAAGTGCCGTAACGGTGCGAGAGAGACAGAGCGACATGCTGTTCGGAACACAGCCCAGCCCAGCACGCAAGTCCTTGATCCGCGCTGGGATTATTCGTCGGCCAATCAGATGGAGTGTCGCGATGGCTGGAATCGCTTCGAAATGCCAAGTCACCACCGCGCGGTGCGACACACGAACAAACAGGCAGACCGACGGACGGACGGACAGACAGACAGACAGACAGACAGACAGACAGACAGACAGACAGACAGACGCGCGCCGAGTGAGTGCGATGTTCTGTTCACCTGTCCCCGCGCGGGACCCGCGGCGGGCAAACGCCTCCCTGCGTAAGTGTGTGTGCAAGTGCCCGCGTATGTGTGTCCTCCGAATGGCTGGGGTGGGGCCCTTTGTCACGCGTGTCCTTTCTTAGTGCTTATAGTGCTCACGCGTGCCGTATGCGTGTGTGTGCGTGTGTGTGTGTGTGTGTGGTGCACACGGATGGCCTCTGAGTGTGTGTGCTCTTGGCCGCTCTTCGCCGTCACATGTGTCCGACCGGGTTGGGAAACAAGAGAAAGTGCTCTGTGCCTCCGCCACCGCCGGGCGCGCCCCGCCGCCCCGCCCCGTCGTGTGTGACTGTCTGTGACTGTCTGTGCGCCTCTGTGTGCGTGCGTTTCGGCTCTTCGGCGGTCTTCGGGCGCGGAGCCCGCCGAGCTGCCGAGCTTCGTGTTCCAGCGGTTCCAGTGACGATTGCCAACGCAGTGCTGCAGAGGGGCGGTGGGCGGCAGGGCAGGCCTCTCATCCTGGAGCTGGAGCTCTTCCAGCAGTGCGGTGGACGGTGCGGGCTCCGGGTACCCTCTGGCCACCAGCTCTAGCCCACTAAGCTCTAGAACTCTCAGACCGCAGCCATCCGATAGTGTGCCTTGTTGATGGACATGGCGGGGTGCAGCATGGCGTCCGGTGATCCTGCCGTGCTTTCGGTCCGGAGCATCCACGCGGCCACTGAGGCTGAGGCCCGGGGGAGCCTCAGCCATGAGTAAGGACTGGCGTGGCAGCCTCCATGGCAGCCTCCATGGCAACTCACAGCCACAGTCAAATTACCAGCATTACCTGCCGGGCCCGGCTGCCCGGCTAGTCCGGCTGGGATACAAAGATGGACGCGGCACTGCGCAGCACCTAGCCTGGAATGCAGGCGGCCCGGCCGCGGCGCGGTGGGCACGGCGTGGCACGGCACGGCACGGCACGGAGTGCTGGCCGGTGAGCTAGGCTGCGGCGAGGACGCGTGAAGCGGCGTGAAGGGTGGTGAAGGGCGGCCGAGTCCCGCGGGGCTGCTCGACTCGCTGCTCGCCGCCGAGCGCGCGAAAACGGTGGCGGGCTGGCGGGGATCGAACCGCGAACCGCGCGCAACCAGGTGTTGCACACACATACAGCGCTGCTTCGCCGCTTGGCTCACGCATCGTGATGGTCCCGCGGATTGTGCGCATTGACAGGCGAAGAGCCGGCTGAATGGGCCTGGATACACTCTAATTATGGGGTGCCCAGAAACTGGGTGCCTTTGTCGCCTGCCCCACTTTTCAGGGTGCCAAATGTCGCCCAGTTTCTGGGCACCTTTGTCGCCCAGTCTCGGGGTGGACTAATCATGCAGTAACCGGCCCTCTCCCATGGTAGAGCATGCACAGGTGTCTAGTTCCTGGGCGACTAAGGTGCCCAGATTCTGGGCACCTTTGGTACCTTAGTCGCTGCTGAGCCATGGGTGAAGGCAGGTTCCTTAATGGTTTGTCCACCCCGAGACTAGGCGACAAAGGTGCCCAGAAACTGGCCGACATTTGGCACCCTAAAAAGTGGGGCAGGCGACAAAGGCGCCCAGTTTCTGGACACCCTACATTTAGAGTGTAGGCTCCGCCGCGGCTCCGCGGGCGTCACGCTCGCCGTGCCACGCTCGGCACCTCAGCACGCTCTCCGCGTCGAGGCGCGCGGCCGTGGGGAAAGAGCCCAACCTGCTGTGCGTCCGTTTCATTTCAATGACACTGTAATTATTCCCCGACGCCACTCGGACTTCAATTCCGAAAATTGGGTGGCTGCTGGATTGGATTTGGGTGCAACGCAGAGAAAGCTGCCGCTGCTGCCGCAGCTAGCGCAGTCAGCTCGGCGCGCTGCGGCCGTGCGCTCGTCCGGTTGACAGATGTGTGATAACCGGACGCTGGTACACCGCAGCACGCCCAGCGTGTAGCTGCGCGCCCGCACGCCGAGACCGCCCTCCGCGACCAGGTTCGCATGGGCGCATCTGGGCGCCGCCAAGGGACCCGCCAGCCAGGCAGCGGACGCACACCCCCGCCCCGCGCGCCTCCGCCGCGCGCCCTGCTCTTACTTTGGTGTTTTAAGTTTTGAATTTTTTACCCCCGGTGACCTCATTTCGACGGCGGTGCTTTTACTGCCGGTGTAGGAGCGAGGGGCGAGGAGATGGACAAGGATGGCTGCCTGGTCCGCCGCGTGCAGGGCCGTGGGAGCAAGGCGTTCACGTTTAGTACGGGCTTTGCTGGTCTCACTGGCCGCCCCAGGGAGTAATCGCTATTTTTGTGTACAGAGAATATGAATATTTTGGAATGCCTGGAATACTACTGGCATCACTCATTAGGCCAAAAACTAGTGAAACGTCCGAATTTGTGGTATAAAAAATTGTGGTATATTAAAATTGATTAAAACTGTGACAAATAAGTAGAAATCGTGTTTTTTGCTGACTTTTGGCGGCCTCTCAGACTGAGTCTAATCAAAGCCGGGCCTCACCCCCTGACGTTTCCATCGGCGGAAAGCCTAGCCGTGACCGAACGCACTCGGGGAAATGCTTGGGGCCCTCTGGGACCTCTCTGGAGGCGGTCATCCCGGAGAAAGTCCGCCTCGCCTCCTCCCTCAAACGGTTTTCGTTCCCGTTCCCTTGTTCTCGGACGCGGCCCTGGACGCGGCCCTGGACGCAGCCCGCCCCGCCGGCCCTTTGGACCGTTTGGAGCACGTCCCTTCTTTTTTCCGAGGGGTCCTGGAAGGGGTCCTGGAAGGGCCCCGCGGAGCAGGGCTTCGGTGGGCCTGGAGCGGACGACCGCAGCCCCCCCCCCCTTTCCCCTCCCCCGGGCCGGATGCCTCCACGTGGAGAGACTCTCTCCTCTGATTTATCTCTGGCCTCCCTTCGAAGGGCTTCTTTTACTCTTGTGCGTCGCCTCGGCTAATTATATTTTACTTTTGAGCTGCCAATCAGCCTGTTGCGCCTCTTCGTTACGCCCTTCCAGCCCTTCCAGCCCCTCCAGCGCCGCCAAATAAGCCCCACTAGTTCATCTTTTGTTTTTGTTGCAGAGTTTTCCGAGAGCGATGCGGGGACGCAGTCTAATCAAGGTGTGTATACTGTACATGCATTTGGGGTGCGGTCCTTCCCCGGTTACAAAAAGCGCCAGGCGCGTCCTTGTTTTTTATTGTGTTTGTTTGTCCTTTCACAGCTGCTAGATTTAAATATAGTGCTCTGTGTGGTTTTGCGGTGGTCGCTGTTAATTTGAACGGCATGTGTACCCTATTTGTTTTCAGCCCCGGCGCCCTGTTGTTCCAGCTGTTAGGAAGCTTGTGTTGTTGCCTTGCTGTACGTTCACGAACAGGACAGGCCCTCGCTGTGCCCGGCGAGGTGTCCATTCCGTGTCCAGGACGATGAGACCTTACAGTATAGTATACCGTTCCGAGCGTTTCGCCCCCCCCCCCCCCTCTTTTCCCTCCGGTACTGGACCCGACGGGATGATATGATCTCCGGCCCCACCATGACGCGGCCATACGTACTGACCGTTCGAATACATACCTTGTATTTAAAGATGCTTCGAAATTCTCTCCGGCATAATCTCGTCCGCGCGGCCAGGCCCTTCGCCCCGCACAGTGGGCCAGAAGGCCGGAGGAGGCGGACAAAACCTAGACGCGCTTTGAGCTCCAGAGTCGCTAAATGGGTCTCGAACCGAACATGTGACCCCACCAGTGGATTGCTCTCCGAACGAGGAATCCATTGGTGGGGTCACACGTTCGGCTCGAGGCCTGTTTAGCGACTCTGCGTCTGGAGTTTTGGCCGCCTCCACCGGCCTTCTGGCCCACTGTGCCCCGCCTGACAAGGACCAGCACGACGTCCCGTTTCCACGAATCGGGTTGCATCACGGTCGGACTGCACCAGGGTACCGCCGTGGGTTGTGTGGCCCGCCACCGCCCGCTCTCATTTCATGTAGTCTCATTGTGGGCGAGTACTAAGCGTCGTGTCGGTGAAAATTGGTTCAAAATGTGGACGGAAATTCCTCCGTTTGAGTTGCTGACTGGTGATTCTATGATTGTTTGTGCGATTCTTCCCCAAACTTACAGCGTCAAATGGGCCAGCAGTCGGTTTGGATGAGTTGCGTGAGTTGGCCTCTGAGCTGTGAGGGCTTGGAGAGCCACGTGGGAGCCTTTCCGGCGATTCCCGATGATCCCCGATGATGCCCGATGGCGCTGGCTGCGTGCGTGCGTGACACTGCGTGACCGAAATGGCGGTTTGCTGACGCGGCGCTGACGGCCTGCTGACGGCCGCGGCACCCCGTCTTGGTCTCGGCGCGCTGGCTGGGCAGTGCTGGCCAGCACTGGCTGGGCCTCCACGCTCCACGCGCCGCGGTGGAGAGAGGCGCGGGCAAGAACGCTTCCGAATTTGATTTCCGATTGCCCGCGGGGCTGGGCACCGATGATTCTGGCCGAGAAAAAAAATGCCAGTAAACGGTCTGGAATACCCAATAAACCCCCACCTGTTACACGGTCGCAGCCCCGTTAGTACACTGTCGCGGCGTTGGGCACGCCCCTTATGGTTATTGCTGTGATTGCACCTCGGAGTTCTGGAATGTTTATGGCACCGCTTTCGGTCACTTTTTAAAACTTTTCGACCCAACGGAGTCATTTTTCGAAATTCCTGGTAAAATTTGCGATGAGGTGTAGGCACTACGGGTTTGATTACGTTTCTTCTCCGTTTTTCCGGTACGTATATCTCCGGTTTCGGTTTGTTGGCGTTCGTCATTGGCAAGAAGAAGCACACCGTGTGTGGTGTCGGTCGGGCCGGTGGGCGGATTGGATTTGTTGTTTGGGTTCAGCTACCGTCGGTTTTTGCCTCGGTCCTTCCCCGACGCAAGCCGCTGCAGCAGAACCGTTTCCAGGAAATGGTCCGCTTTTACGGGGAACACGGCAGTGAGCAGCGCCGCCCAACTGCACCCCTGCCTTATCGCCAAGGCTCTCCGGTCGGGAAGGGTTCACAGATACCACCGGACAGTTTTCGTTTACACGAGCGGAAGAATTCGGTCCGCGTGTCTTACAAGAAACGGCCGATTTTCAGAAGGCGGAGTGCATCTCTCTGTTAATTACGGCGTTAAAAATTAAAATAAATTGAATATCAAAATTAAAGTTCCCGTTCAGTAAAGGACAAGTCTCCCGTGAAATTGATCTGAATATTGCGACACGCCGATTGGCAACTGACCCGTATGGATAATCAACAACAATCGGCAGTGTAGCCGTTCGCTCTGCCTGCCGACGCGCTGCGCTGTGCTTCGCTCGGGAATCGGATTATTCATGATAGTTTTTGTGGGTCACCAATTATACCGTATTACTGTATATGGGAGTGAAGGGACGACGACGACAACGGAGCGCGGAGCACCGGTGTGTATACTGTAAATAGATAGGAAGACGGCCACCGCTCTGCACCGTTTTCGGCTGCTGTGTATAATTTTGACGGGGCGGCGACTGGCAAAGGTAAAAGCGGGGGGAGGGGGAGGCGGCTGTCTCGTCAGGCACAAAGTAAGCAGTAAATAAGATCGCCGTCTAGCGGGCCGGCCGTGGGTGCCGTGGGCCGGCGGGGGCGAGGGGGGGGGGGAGGGGGCACTCTGTCCGCGGATGCTGCATTGCCAAAACCATAAACCCAGCCAGCCCTCAAGTCAAGGCTTTCGGGTGGTGAGCCGCTCGGCACCGTTGCCCGAGTGTCTGCGCGTCTCTCTGTCCGTCCGTCCGTCTGTCTGTCGACCTGAGGCGTCCCTCGGCTTTTCAGGTCACATTTGGCATATTTGAGACGGTGGCCCTCCCCCTCCGCCGCGCTGCTCTGCACTGTATTTGGGTTTTGCAATGTAGATTCGGCGTTTGCGCGGCGCGACGCGCGCTACGCCGAGCCCGCTAGCCAATCCAGCCAATCCAGCAGCAAGGCCCCGAAAAGAAAAGAGTCTCGCATGAGTCATGACACAGTCATGACTGCGCCAAGACATCGGCCATTTCATTCGCTTTTTTGTGTCGGTTTGCTCTCCTTGCACTTCTGTCTCCAATTTTATTTTATTTTCAACTCACTTTTTGAGCGCATTGTCATTCTCACTCTCTCTTTTCGGTCTGGTGACCTGTATCCGCCCTACGTATTTGGGGGAAAGCGATGGAGCAGGGGGAGTGGAGAGAGAGAGAGAGAGAGGAAGAGCGAAGTGCGGGGAGGGAAAAGGGAAAAAGAGGCGATCTGAATGCGGCCTCGCCATGTCATGCCGCGTACTGTCACTCTTCATTTGGCTATTCGTCGGACAGCAGCACAGCAGGCTCACTCTCGTCCGCAGGGATGCCCCATGAGTGCGAGAGAGACAGAGCCGTGCCGCGAAATGCATCCCCATTTTCCTTTCGGCCCTCTTCAACCCCCACGTGGCGAAAGCGGCCGAAAAAATGATAGGGTTCCCGAATCGTATACTGTGGGAATCGTACCGTCGTCCCACACATCAGCCAACCTTGGGCAATTACCGAAGTAGGTCAGACGGGGCGGCGGGGGCGGCGCGGGGCGGCCCACCCACCCCCTCATCCCTGACCTGCAGCAACCCCTCGCCGGGCCTAGGGGTGCGGGCGGAGCGGGGTGGCGCGGGGCGGGGGCGTATGGGAATCTCTTGTTCCCATCTACAGCGGTACAGTAAGGCTGGCCGGCCTTTGCGATTAAACGTTGACCCAGATACATACAATACGGCATTGCGGCCGGGGCTGGCCGGGCTGGCCGCGTCGCGCGGGGACAAGCAGCTTGCAGTGTATGGGGCTTGCGCGGACGCCGCGCCTCTGCCGCTTGCATTTCTTTCATTTCTAATCGTCGAGTTGGGGAGTGAAGCCTGGAAGTGTATGATGATGCGTGCTGCGCTGCGCCACGCAGCCAGACGGGCCGGGCCGTGCCGCGACAAGCCGGCGGGCCCAGGCCCAGAGGGTGCAGGGCGTGCAGGGCGTGCAGGGCGTCAGGGTGCGCCGATAGCTCCGGACGGCCTGCTGGGAGTGATGGCGGTGTCCCCGCCACCCCGGCCTGGCCCCGCCCCGGCCCCGCCGCCCCGACAGGCCGATAACGGCAGATAAGGTGGCCGTCTGCGCGACGCCGTGGCGACGCCGGGCAGGGCAGCCCTCAGGTGCACGCCTCGCCTCGCCGGGGTGGGGCGCTACGACCCGCTTCGGGCCTTCGGGCACTCCAGCCTTGGCGTCAGCCTTCGTTCAGCCCGGCGGCGTGGCCGAGGGCCGCTGAATTTCGTGCGCCCGGGCCGTAAAGGCCATAACCGCGGCGCCGTGGCCGAGCCGTGGCGGCGGTGGGGGATGAGAAATTGGACATGCAACACCCCGGCCCGGCATGCCAGCCAGCCCGGTCAGCCCCTGGTTCGGCCCTCACATTCTTCCCCGACACGACCCGCCTCATTTCAAACCCCACCCTTCGAACAAGCAGCGCGAACCCAGAGCCAGGCACAGCCCCCGCGGATTAACGCGCCCATTAATCTTGCCCGTCCTCTCCGCCGAAAGTCTTTCATCACGTGACGTGTGCGTGACGCGCCGCGTGACGAGCGCCGTCATGCGTGACACGCCACGCGCGCCGGTGTGGCGTGACGGCGTGCGATACGTGTCACATCACGGACCTGATATAGGTATACCCCGGCCTCGGCGGCCGGACCTCGCACGCGCTTTTTCGGGGCCTCGGGTATGGTTATCCCGGTGATGTCACGCGTGAGTGACACGTGTGTGTGTGTGTGTGTGTGTGTGTGTGTGTGTGTGTGTGTGTGTGTGTGTGTGTGTCGCGCGGGAGAAAGTGACGCGGCGCACACGTGTAGGGCGCGCCGCTGCTGCTGCTGTTGTTATTCTGGGGTACGCGGCGAAAGATGAGAAGTGCAGCGACGCGGAAACTCGAGGGGCGGTGCGGGGAGGGGGAGGGGGGGAGGTCGCCTTGGTGGTGATATCAGCGCGAGACGCGAGGGACGACATCCGCAACGCGACCACACTGGACGGCGCGCGCAGTGCAGTGCGTCGCAGTGCGGCAGTGGCGTGCTGAGCGCGACCATTCCAGGCGTGCCTGCGTGTATTTCCCATTTCCCATTGGGCGG